TCTATCTAACCAGGTTCTAGCGACTCTGCTGTAATGAGCAGGGCATCCATCTAATTGAAACCACATTTCAGTACGTTGTTGTAATGGGATGTTTTCTAAATAGTCAGAAAATTCATTCTCCAAGAAATTTAGAAAACGGTCCCCATTTAATCTTGCAGGTAAAAAAAACATTTTTTTTCGATTTCTCTGAAACGGAGCAAAAACGAGCATATGTCTATAGGACTTTTTTTCTTAGTTTTTTACTCCTCTACACGCTCCCGAAGTTTTGCCATTTAATTTGGAAACACCCTGTATAATGCTCATAATATATTTTTGTTGAAGTTCGTCGCTCATCCGAGTGTGCAACAATTATTGGCTGCTATTTGGTATGACGGTCTTCCGGGATTCAGAAGGAAAAATATAACAGCACAGTTGATGGAAGTTGCCAAACTTGGAGCAATGTTTCCGGTTTATAGTATTATTTATATGATAGCCCCCTCTTCGCAAATGGGGTCGTTTATGAAGAAGCCGTTCGTCAAGTTTATATGTCATTCTGCATCATATGCTTTTTTTTTAAGTATGATATGTTTCTATTTACTTTACGTGTCTTAATTTGTATCATTGAAATGACTCTCAAATATTTATTTTTTAAGTGCTACTCGGTATGGCATCGCAAAGAATTGAATACTTATTAATCGAATTGTTTGGTAATGAGTGGATGCGAGAAATACTTGCTGGCTGGAAAAAACGAGAACGTGGCTGCATCCCGGGTTTTGTCGAGACAGGCGTGGTCATCTATGTGATAAGTAACCAAATCCTGATATTAAAAATTATCTATAGTTAGAAGTATATGGGGCTCTAAAAAATGTAACAAAATGCGATAATCCAAATATGGACTAATAAGAGCATGGCGATAGGCAATACACAAATAAATATTCAAACGTAATTCAAATGTTACGTCAAAACTTCGAAGATTTACTTAGATTTGATTGGAGAAAGAAAAGATACGAAAGAGTAAGTATGGAAAGACGTTATGATTAAACAAACTCTATCTCGCAGATACATATACAGAGACCGGTATTGCAAATTGAACGTATTTTTATAATTCTACAGAGTTCTAAAAATTCTATGGAATATGAAACAACGTCTTCAAAATGACGCTATGGGTGCGTTCGGGGAGACGCTATCAGCGCTATGAATACAAACGCTACCAACGCTGTTCGTAGAGCCATAGCGCGATAGTGTTAGCAAGCACCATGAACAATAAATAGTATCGATTTAATTTAAAATGGAGCATAAGATAACATTTTATAAAAGAATAGAACACCCATTTATAAAATAAATCATATAGTATCAAATTTTTTCAAGAGTTATGAAAGAAAGATTATTATTTTATGTATTATGGTGTATGGAAGGTGTAAAACAGAACATCTTTTTGATACACTGCTCAAGAACTATCCATTATTGAGCCAAATTGTATTTTATCTTTTGTTCATCACATTATAAGTCAGAGCCTTCCAACTCGGATACCATACTATGATACTGGGATCCGCTTCTGTAGGTCAGAAATCTAATCGAAGGAAGAAGGAAGAAGGATTTTATAACGTAAAAGTGCCGTACCCGAGTTGGAAGGCTCTGTTATAAGTTATACAGCATATAACAAAACGAACTCATTTTATCGAAATCCAATTTTCCATACAATTAGTACGGAGTCATTTGCTAATCTAAATCTTATTTATTAAAATTCCATGATGATATTAATTTATTTTTGAGAAAAATTTATAAATTAGGAAATACTTTGTATATAAAAATTATTTATTTAGATTTAAATAAATATACAGAATTTTCACACAAACAATTAATTTTATATTAATAACAAAAACAATTTGTAATTTGCCGAAAAATGATATCAATCAAATGCATTTGTAGGTTTAATCATCGGCGAGATTAAGGCTTTATGGGCAGATGGGTTAATTGAATATACGTCGGATTTGTGGAATATTGTGGACTTCATTCAAAATACGTTTTACGTAATCTGGATAGGTATGCGTATTACAGCTTGGTGGATAGTACAGGTATAGGTTTTATTATATATATATATATATATCTTTATAAAAAATATAAAGACATGATCATAAATGATTTTAAAATTAATTGAATTGAAATAATTGCCATAAAGACACACAATTGATTGTAGAATAATTTGAGTATAGAATGTTTTTTTGTGAAATGTTAAATTTAACACAAATCTTCTAATTGTATAGAGAGAATATTGGGATGGTTTAGATCCTTGGTATCCAAGAGATAAATGGCACGCATTCGATCCAATGTTGCTTTCAGAAGGAGCGTTCGCAGCCGGAATGATATTTAGGTAATTTCTGTGAATGCGTGTTTGGGAAATGTTTCTTATTGATTAATATTCAACCCACACATCATATGCGTGGATGTATTTCAGCTTTTTAAAACTTGTCCATATATTCAGCGTAAATCCTCATCTTGGGCCGCTCCAGATTTCCCTCGGGAGGATGATAATAGATATTATCAAGTTCTTTTTCATCTACACTCTCGTGCTATTTGCCTTTGGCTGCGGTAAGTAACGCATCTTCCCGATTCAGTCATTCACCGAAGTTTCGTTATTCATAAGCCTTGTCATACGTACTGATCAAAAAATCATCCCACTTTTACTTCTCAGACAATACTTTTCAGACTAGTAATCTCCTGGTTCAGTGCGATCGATGCAAAGCGGAAAAAACGCTAAAGCAGGACGATGTTTTAAATTTATGTTTTGTTTTAGGCATGAATCAGTTGATGTGGTATTATGCGGACTTAGAAAAAAGGAAATGTTATCACGCATCCGATGAGCTGCCGGATTTCGATAATCAAGAGAAAGCCTGCTCTATATGGAGAAGATTCGCCAAGTACGAAGGTCGAAAATACCTATTTCCGTAGAAGAGAGATTTTAAAATTTTATTCATGCTTTCAGCTTGTTCGAAACATCACAATCTCTCTTTTGGGCAAGTTTTGGCATGATTGATTTAATGTCGTTCGACCTGACGGGCATTAAGAGCTTCACACGATTCTGGGCGCTCCTCATGTTTGGTTCTTATTCCGTGATAAACATCATTGTGCTGTTGAATATGCTGATTGCTATGATGTCTAATTCTTATCAAATCATTTCGGTAGAATCAGTCAATTTTTTTAAGCTATTTTATCAGTAAATATATATAAAAATTGTTCAAGAAAGTGCAGGGTGTCTGTATGGACAGATTGAAGAAGTAATTTATGAATTTATTTTAGAAAGGAGTAAATTTCTCTTAATGAGGGTATATTTCCTTTCAAGTTATATTTAAATAGATTTTCGTCTAAGCGTCTTTTATATTTATATTTAATTTGATCATACAAATCTCCTGTCTTTCTTTAATTAACTTTTATATTATAATTTTTTTATAGTACAATTATTTAATTTTTATACAATATTCTTTATTAAAATTGACGTTTAACGTCTCACATTAATTGTATATTTTTAGGAAAGATCCGATACAGAATGGAAATTTGCCAGGAGCCATTTATGGATGAGTTATTTCGAGGATAGCGACATTGTTCCACCGCCCTTTAATATGATTCCAACAAATAAAACTTTTCAAAAGCTATTCAAATGTGGAGGCAGCGATCGTTCCACAAGATCTTTTATGGTAAATAATTTTTTCTATTTAAAGTATTTCGAAATATAAGAATGTTTTTTTCATTAATTTCATTTGCTCAATTTTTCAAAAAACATCTTTCAAAAAACTTGCGAAACTCATTTGATACTACAATTAATTTTTGTGTATAATTTTATATTTAACAATATAATTATAAATAAGAAGCTTTTGACGAATTGTATCCTATTATAAAAAATAAAATAACTAAATTGTATTCTTAATTTTAGATGCATCTCAATTTAACAAACTTTTAATTTAAAATAATATATAAGACTCCTAAGAGAATAAGACTCCTAAGAAATTGACAATTTTATTGATAATTTCGAATTTTTAATTGTATTCATGCTGGCTGAAAGAATGCGTAGATCAAGCAACTCCTTTTTTATTAATATTGAAGTCACTCGACGCATTTTACTATTGATAATAGTTATTAATTCAAAACAAAATTATTTAATTATTTTATTTCAGAAAAAATCTCGGGAGAAAGCTATGACTAGACATGACACTGTAGTGCGTCTGCTTGTACGTCGTTATGTGACGGCCGAACAAAGGAAACGAGATGAGTTTGGTATCACGGAGGATGATGTCAGGGAAATTCGCCAGGACATTTCGAGTTTTCGATATGATTTGATTGATATCCTTAAGAAGAATGGAATGTGCACACCAACACTCGACAAAGAAGAAACAAATAGTTAGTATATATTTACACGTAATAAACCTATCATTTATATAATAATTGATCATAAACGTATTTTATCTCGCGGAAAATCAGAAGGACTATCTAAAGGAGGATGTTTATTTTCTATTAAAATTTGGCTCTTATCAGCTATTTTTCTCGATCACTCGGATCGTTCATTTGTCTCACTTCGCGCCGAGTTCGCTCGAATTTCGAAGTTCGCCGATTCTCGGAAACGCCGAATTCGCGAACTCTTTCGACGATTCGCGTAAAAGTAAGCTTTCACTCTTTTAGAGTGAAAGTCATTCCAAGAAATGTTCACTCAAAAAAAAAAGAGTGAGATATATTTCATTCCTTTGGAGTGAATTTCATTCTAAAAGAGTGAAATCTTACTTTAGAAAAGAATGAAAATCTGCTACCCTTGTTCAAAATTTTCACTTTTTTTTCAAAAATTGCTCAATTTTCACTCCAAAAGTTTTAGAGAGTAGATCTCCAGATTAATTCGGTAAGCGGTAATATTTAAACAGTAGGCGTCGCCTACGAAATCGGCCCAAAATGTGCAGATCATTGCGAGCTCTGCTTTAAAGTAATGCATTTTAAAAGCAAGTACACTTTTACAAATTATTATTTTCTATACTTTTAAGTACCCGGAAAAAAAGGCAGAGTGATGGAACGCCGACTCCAGAAAGATTTCCAGATCGGTATTGTGGAGGGCATCGTGCAAGCCGTTATTCAAAGCGAAAAAGAGCCGAAGGACGTGTTCAGTCAAATCGCAAAGGCGATTGGACGGAAAGGAAGCGGAGCGAGTAAAAAGGACTGGAACGCCGTAGTAAGGCAAAGCACCATCGCTATGGATCCTATCGGAAGTACAAATGAAGCGATGCAACGCCAAACTCGGCGTAGTTTACGTCGCCATCTGCAACACCAGCCGGATTCTGATTTAGCATCAATGGATCCAAAACGGCTGCTCGAATATAATCCAAATCTCTCGGACTTCACTCCGATTACTAGAATAGCCTATGCCAAGTTCATGCTAAGCAAAAACAAACCGGACGAGCAGCCTGATGGTAAATTTATGTTTAAATTCTTTTTTAACATTGGTGTTATCTGATTCCTTTTTGGTTTCCAATTCAAACTTCACTTACAGAGACGTCGAAATAAATTCCACGTTCTTGCATCAATCTTTTTTTGATATATGAATTTTTTGTCAGGTTTGAATTAATTTTCTTATAAAAAAAATTTAACAAATTGACATGTACTTCACAATTCTGATGTCTGTTTAACTTTGAAATAATGGCATAAGAATTTTTTCTAATCTTGAATTCTTCCAATGTTTTCTTTCATTGACTAATGCCCGTATTCATAGTCAGACTTTGTACTTAAGGCTTCCTTAAATTTATCTTTAGATGTTCAATAGCCAATAAAATAATTCGTAGAGCATCTGAAGATAAATTTAAGGAAGCCTTAAATATAAGGCCCGACTATGAATACGAATATAAGAACCTTGTAATTTTATAATTTTTAATTTAAATATTATTCATTCGCAGATACAAATGATAATGAAACTGAGGAGGGTCCTCGAAGAAGCAGTAAAGTTATGATAACAGAAACTTCTACAAATGTGATTCCACGGCCGGCCATTAAAACATTTAAAAAAGGCCTATTAAAGTCTACGAACAGCAGTGTGGATAAACAAGCAGGACTCAATGCTAAAGCTGAAATTAAATCACCATCACCTATACCCGAAGATTCTGTAGGAGAAGAAATAAGTAAGCAGATATCATCCGCTACGTTCAATCAAGAGAAAATAGTCGAAGAAATGGAAAATGTCCAAGAGCAACAGCGAGAAGAAAATGAAGTAACAAGCGAAAAAGAAACATCAAACGAGCAAAAGGAAGAAGAGACGGAAAATGATAAGCGTCAACAGTCGAAAAATACAGAGGGAAATAATAGTGATGACACTGGACAGAAGACCTCAGAAATAGATAAGGAAATAGATACGGAAAAATGTGTTAAATCTGACATAACAGAAAGGAAACCTGAAGTACCGGTTCAAACTACAAAATTGGAAGGAAAGTCAAAAGCGACCGGTCGAGTAATGGGAGGTTGGATTTAATTGAACATTTTGGTGCTTTCCAGCAAGAGATGCAGTGTAACACAGTGATCATTTCATCTTTGTTTAACATTGACAAATAACAAAGATACTATGATTCGCTGTGTTACACTGTGTCATCTGTGTCTTCTGCTAGAAAGCATCGTTTATCTTATTTTAATTAAGTAAATATCTATTTAAAATTATTTATATTTTTTTTATTTAAATATTTCAATATTTAAATATATAGCTTATTAAACTTAAATATATCTCCTTTTATATATCTCCATATTTCTTTTTAACGTCTGTTAATGATGTATTCACATTAATAAATATTGAACGCTAATTGTGTTATATAAAATTTACAGATTTTAATGTCATTCAGCATTATTAAGATCGTTCTAAGATGCGGAAAAGCATCAAATTGTTAATTGCTCGTCAATTTAACTCGTAATGTTACTGCGGTAGTTTGATAAAATTTGCGTTTTAAGATCGAAAAATCATTTCGGCGCGCAATTTAAAGGATTATATACATATATAATTCACACAGAGTTATACAAGCACTTAAGATCCAATTAGACTGTTAAAGGCATTTATCTCTGTTGGTTGTGTTCTCACATGTACGGTAGAGATTTAATATTTAATTTTGTTAAATACGTTTAATTTAATTAACTTTGTTAAGCTTAAAAAGTAATTCTTAAAAAGTTCTCAAATCACAAAATTTCTCAATAAGATTAGATTATGTGTAACAATGGAAATTCCGTTCAGTAATTGATTGTACAGTATTCATGAATGCGATAAACAGATTACTCATATTGATGGATGTAATTAGCTGTCAGTTTTCTTTGTTCATTCTTATATGTCCAATGTCACGTACAAGCGATAAGACGGTTTTTAATTTTGATGATTCTTATCAGTAATACAATATACGTCACAAACGATGCTACATTTAGATAGCGAAAGTAACATAGATGACATGTGATAAATACAATTATATATTTAAAATAACTTATGCAATTGATATTTACGATGCGTCCTTTAACACGTGCATTTGCCGCAGATCAGCCTTAAGAAAGGTCTAAAATATGAAAATAGCAAAATCAATAATAAGAAGCGCTTGTGTTTAATCTATTAATTCTCGCATTTGTATGTTTCTTTCCTCTTATGAAAGAATTGCTTCTTGGACAGATAAAATTTTTCTATGTTATTCACAGTGTATTAGTGAAATTAAACGATATAAGTATTTTTTTCGCATTATGATTAATAGTATAAATATTAATATTACTGATTGAATACCTTTGTTTTTGCTTATCCACTCCTTTTGTTTTTATTCTGTTAGCAGCGCGCTTCTTCATTCTGTTAACTCTTTTATCTTCCTGTAACATAATATATTATATACTGTGGTATTGTCATATTCAGCATATCATATGAGATAATCTGATCCATGATGGAAGAAACCTAGATGTGTTCTCGCTCATACATTTTCTAACAATCAGGACCATTTCTAGACTCATTGCGCCCGGATACGAAACATCCAGCAGCCACCCTTTTTTTCCACGTTGCAAACCCAAGCAATTCTTGTTAATCATTATACAGTGAAAATAAATAACTTTTTCGCAATTCCCTTACCGGCTGTACAGCGAAAAAATTCGAAATGACTCCTATATCTTAAGTTAATCCAAACCCAATAAGTCACGAGAACAAGTCACAATAACATTAAAATGACATTAAAATAAATCGGAAATGATTGAAAAATGACTTTTAATGATCATTTTGGAGTCATTTTGATGTCATAATGACTTGTTCTGCTTGAGAACCCACTTTGAAATGATTATACGTGCATATTATTATCGATAACTGATACAAATCAAGCATCAGCTTATATTAACAATTGATTGCACAAGCGTTTCTAAAATATTTAATAATATACATACAGCTGCAGATTGTTTTTTCGTATTTATACTTCACAGAGTACTCGCGCGTACTTTACAGAGGGAACACAATATATTCAACAGGGTATACCACATAAAATGAAAAATCTGATATACCAAAGAGAGTCTGAGAGTGATAATGATCGTAAGTTAGCTGTTACCAAATCCTATAAGTAATGTCTACAATTTCGTGATTCTCTGCCATATGCTATTAGATGGGTCAGACAAAGACAAACAATCAAACGTTTTTATCTAATTGACCTAATAGCATGGAAGAGAATTACAAAATCGTGGATACTACGAGATTTCCGATTTACTAAATCGTGGTCATTGACGTCGACTTAAAATTAATTAATACTTACATCTTCAAGTTCACCGATTAAATACTTTTTGAGCATCTTTGTCGCATCTGAAGAATGTCCGAATTCATCAAATCCACTCGTTGCATCTTTTCCTGCGTATTCGTCAATTAATTCTGGACCACCAGGATGCTGCAAATAATATTTCTCCCTGTACTTAATTTAAATCTAATTTAGTAAGTTATTCTTATGTACAGAGAATGGGCCCGAACGTTCCGGCCAGACTTTGAGATTTTATACACAGAAAAAACAATGTAGTTGGCCTACTTTATTATAGAGTTTTAAAAAGCTCTTGAAATAAGCTACAAGAATATGTAATAAAAAATGCCTTTATAGAAGATTTCATTAAAAAATTTTATGTAACTTTGATTTGACCTTAAGAACATCTTAAGATCAACCAAGATCATCATTGTCTTTCCCCCTTCAAAACCCTATAATTTTTGTGTGTATCTAAACCATTTTTCTCTAAAACTCTGTGATTTTCAAATATTTGACTGTCAAATATAAAAACCCGCCCGTATATTCTTTCTCTATATTGCATTTTTGATATCAATGTTATTGATATTTCTTACTTTTTAGTTGAAATTTTTGAGTTCTTTTTACACAATTCAATTTTTTCTGCTTATAAGGCATTAAAATAAAACAAGAAATGAATAATTTATAAAACGTCTCATATATCTTATTTTAACATACTTTTGAATAAAATATAAAATATTATGTAAAATATTTATTTTCTAATTTTATTTTAATACTTTTTTATATGCATAGAATATTGAAATAAATATATGTAAAAAGTTTAATTGCATTTAAGGAAAAATATACAATTTGTAATATACAATTTTATAATGTATGTACCTGTTGCATATAATCCGTTACATCGTAAATGTTGTCATGGATGATAATCCAGGTTCTCGCTCCGTTTTTACCGTTGCACTTTGCAACATCGGCGAGCGAATAGCAAATTGTCGAATAGGACATTCTTCAACTGAATCTTGCAAGAAGAAGAAAGAGAACTCATTCGCATCCGCAATATAAGTAATGTGTCAATGTTCTGAGAACTACGGTACTCCCGGAAAATACGAAAGATAAGCATATCGATCGCGATTTAGAGAGGCATATATTGTATCTATAGATAACTGTGAGTCTATTGTCTTAATTCATGGTTTTATCGTGCAACTAATGTAAAAATGTCACTCGCTGCACATTGTTGTAACTTTTCCATAGATCGTCGCAATTATAATTTCATTAATAGGCGATCAATTAATGATGCATGTTACGAAAACGCATTCGCGGTGTATCATCAAAGGCACAACAAGAAGAAATGTGCTCAGTTTTAATTGCACATTCTAATCAGTTGTCAAGCTTTTTTTAAAAAAAAGTAAAACTTCAAGTTTCATATTTTTTAAAGGGAGAAAACTGTTTTATGGTGGAAGAGATACCATCATGGACTTCTTCCGTCATGAACTGCTTAGTTTGCTTCGCGCTGAAGTATACAATATTTATCTAATATTTAGATATTTGACAAAATATTGCTCGCAAGTGAGAGTGTGGAGCTCGTAAAAGGGCGAATACAGGAAGAGGAAATATTATAGTAACAGATACATATCTGTAGATACGATGTTAAGTAAGAGAAAAAAATACATATAGACTAATATTCATGGTTTTTATTTTAAAACCGTTTTAAATAATGTCTTATATGGATTTTCTACAATAAGCCGTTATCTAAGCTTTAATCTTAAGCCGTAAGAAATTGATCAATCATAATCAATTTTTCTTCTCACATTCGACTGTAATCGGTCAATTTCTTACGATTTAAGACTTAAAGATTAGGTAGTGGCTTATTGTAGAAGCCCATTAATCAATTTGCTTACACGGCTCCAATTGGCTTATGGCTTGTAATAGCTTAAGACTGTACTTAAGACGGTCTTATAAAACTAACTATGAATGCTGGCCTAAATATTCTATTTTGACAAAATGATTTAACAGGAATCAAGATAGTAGGAATTAAATAATCAGTAAAGAGAAAATTCCTAATTACTAAAAATCTTTTAGTTTATACGTATATTACAGGAATAACAATGCATATATGTATATGCTACATAATTAAATGTTCATGTTATTGTACAAAATATTCAATTTTTTTTCATCTTACTTCATATTAAGATCCAGTCGAGGATTCATACCATTTCGACTTTTTCAAATCAATTCCTTTTAACTTATTTCTATAATTATTTAGAAGCTTATTGAAATTTGCATCATCTGCATCAAACTTCTTCGTTTTTTTCAACTAAAACAAAAATGACATTATAAGTGTTATAAAACATGTATTCCGATATTCACTGTCAATAGTGAAAATTTATAATGCATGTAACATATATTACAGATTTTTAGCACTGACAGTGAATATTGAAAGGCAGCCAACAAAATTCACAAATCAGAAAATTCTATATAACTAAAATAAATTTTTTTTAAATTTATTTTAATTGTATTTAAATTAAATGAAGTGTAAAAATCATAATTAATATCTTACTGGCATGCTGTCTTGTCTTTTCTTTATCTTTTCTTTTTTTACAATGTTCAATTGCTTAGCCGCTTTATTCAGTTTCTTCTGTTTTTTTACGGTCGTCGTATGTAATACGGCTTGTGACTTGAGATTAAAGTTTGACCTTAATTTATCTTGACCTAATTTGCTGGTCATGCCTGCATATGATTTTTCTTCTTGATCATTTAATTTTCTGACTTTAACTCGTTTAGTTGGGACTTCTTCCTTGTCCTCATTTTTCCTTTTATCTTTGTTTTCAGACCACAGTGGATTATGCTCGCGACTTTTCTGAATTCTTCTTTCTTTCGCATTCACCAAGATACGATTCTCTATCGAGAATCCAACTATAGGTCTCTATATCAAATTTATAAACTAATATATGAAAGATCAAAATGATTAATAATAAAAATAAAATTATAATCTTACTCTGCTTTTAGAAAATATATTTGGATTGTTGTTTATACTTCTTAAAGCTTTAAGCGTATCTTCATGAGTGGTAAACGTAACAAAGCCATACTCCTTCGATTTTCCTTTCCCCGTCGCATCAACGTTTTTGAAATCACGCATAACTCGCGCCTTCAAAATTGCAAATAAAATTAATTAATGCCTATATAAAATGTAATTGGAATAGTAACACTTATATATTCTAAATAAAATTACTTCTTTAATTATGGCCTTAGGACCACTGTGATTTTTAAATAACTGTCTAAGTTTTTCATTATCAAAATTGGAAGGTAAATTATGAACAGCCAGCCGTACTCTCGATACAAACATATTCAAGTTACGTAACATCTGTGATTTCCATTGCTCTAATTTCAAACGTTTTTCCATATCGGATACTGACACTTCTGCTGCGGCTGGACTTTTGGCCAGCACAACTGGAAATCGACAACGGCGATGTTAAAATTACTTTACATAGCATAATAATATTTTAAAATCAGATCATTACCTCCTTCTTTGATGAGATATAAATTTCTAGAATCTTTAATCTTTTTTTCTTTTAAATTCTTTTTGTCCTCAACTTCATTTCTACGTAATGCTCTGTGGGCTTCAATTATTTGGTCACGTAAACGTAATTCAGTTCCAGCTGACAAACAATTTTCGGCGTCTTCAATACGCTGCACAATAAAATATTTTTTATAATAATAATAAACAAAATTAAATTAAAGGATTAAAAATATACATCTAAAGATAAATCAACGGTAAATGTTGACAATAACGGACCCAGCTCCGATGATCTTGACTTTGACATATAAGATTTGTTCGCGTCGCAAGCTCCAACATGCTCCAACGTGCTCCTACCATAGTTCCTACTCACTGTATCAAGCGCATTGGAGAAAGTAAGAGCTATGGTAAGAACATATTGGAACATGTTGGAGCATGCGACGTAAACAAACCTATATTGTCAAAATCATGACTCTGAATGATCTTCAAAAGATTTTACCCCGCGCTCGTCCTTTGCTAATAAGTTATTAACAAAAAAGTACAATAAATATTTTATAATTATGTGACACTTTATATAGACTGCATGCACTTCTATTATCATATTATACGTTCAAAATAAATTGTCTGTATAAATTGTCAAGGTCAAGGTATTCGGAGTTGAGTCCATTATTGTCAACATTTATCAAATGAACTACTCTTACTCGAAATTTAACAAATGCAGTGCCTCTAGAATATTCAGTCAGAGGATCCATACACACGAGAGCATAGTAGACAGGTCCAAATTGCTCCATGCACTTTTTAAGTTCGTCATTTTTAACAGAGAATGGTATATTCTTTAGAAAAATTGTTTTTCCTTCACTAATGTCATTAAACACTCGATCTGGACGTTTTGTAGAATATTTCTCTTCTTGATCAATGTCTTCTTCCTTAATAACAGATCTATCAATTACAACATTGGAATCATTATCATCATTACTGTCATCACTTTCATCTTCATTGTCAGTATCATCTGCTTCGTGTATTTTTATCTCATCATCAGATTCAGTCTCTTCTTTTATACTTTCCACTTCTCTAGAAATTGTAAAACTATTTTTTAAAAAGAAAGATAGAGAGAAACAAATTATTTAGAGAAAATTAAAATAAACAGTTTAAGAAATATATAGATAATATCCAAGATTAGCAAAGTTACTTTATAACTTGTTGCTGTTACCATTATTTTTTCTAAAAAGTAACCATTATTCAAAAAGTAATGAGTCGTTACTATTCTCGTTACTTTTTAAAATAAAATATATACAAATTTTTGCGGTAAACATAAATAGAAAATTATAGAATTCTATTTTCTATTCAAAGAGTAAGACTCAAAACCTGATAAATGTATATTAAAAAATTAAGATTTTAGTAAAACTTTAGATTAAAACCGACCACCAATTTCAATGACCTTGACATATGTTGTGAACGCAGCAGCCAATCAATTTTTCGCTAGAAATTAATTCATATGTTAGCTAGAAAGTAACGATAAAAGTAATTAGTCAAATCATTACCATCATCCAAAAAATATCGTTATCCATTTGTTACTGAAAAAAAGTAAAGCTGACAACATTTACCAATCTTGATAATATCCATTTACATTCTAACACAGTTCAAACTTTAAATACCTATCTGATTCAGCATCTAAATCACTAATGTCATTTTTACTGTTAAAAGATGCATTTATTTCTGAAATATTATGTACTTCATCTGCGTCAATAGGTTCAGTTTTGACTTCTACCTTCACATCTGTATTGTTTTGAGAAAATTTTGTTTTAGGAACAGCCCAGTCGACTATCATAGGCCTGTTTAAAAGAGGTTGCATATTTGCATAATGTATAGCTTTTGCAGCATTTTGTACAATATTATATTGTAAGAATGCAACTCCAGTCGATTTACCATCAGATTTAGTTAAAATCTTTATTTCCTCTATTTCGCCATATTGAGCAAAATGTTCTTTCAAATTATCTTCTGTAATCTACAAAGAAATTGAAAGCTTTCAACTGTTGAGAAAAGTATTAAAAAAGAAATATTTTTCATAATACATACAATACATAACAAATACCTGAAAAGCTAAATTTCTTATTACAATCCTGGCTCGTTTTTTCTGTTTTCTTATCTTGTGTAACTTTCTTATCTTTTGCTTTCTCAAATTATTCTTCTCTTTTGTGATCTTTTTCTGAGTATTACTACTGTCGTTTTCTTTTTGAGTATCCTGAGAAAGTCCTTCTTTATCAACTTCTTGATTTTCAGCAAGACTTTTTTCAAGTTTTTCGGAGGATTTGAGTTTTGATATAGCCCAATTACTGCTTATGTTCCTTCCTAAAATGAACAATGCATGTTTTGTATATGTCAAAATCACTTTTTTTTTTAAGCCTGATTTTATAAATACCAAGGAACTCCTTTTTATTCGTATTAAATATTGCTTTTGAAGCATCTTCAACACGTTTAAAGTCTATGAAACATCCCACTGGATTTCCATCTGGACGCTTCAAAAAGTTTATTTCTTTGATTTCACCAAATGGCTCGTAAAATCTCCTTACATCCTCTTCTGTTGTCTAAGAAAATTTAAGTGTTATATAACAAATTAATTTATGTGAAAAGAATAAAACA